ACCAAGACTCAATCGTAAACAAGGGGGAAGCACCACCCCAATCGCTCGATCGCTCGCCCGCGGGGCGAATCGCGGACTATGAAAGGAGCCAATTTAACGGTTACATATATCCCAATTTGAGTTCATAAAAGCATACGAAGATAAGTTTTTTTACATCTCGATCATGTATACAGGAGGGAAGCTACTTATCCCAATTAGCCCATCTCTATACGTTCACCCAATCGGCTAGCTAAATTAGCTCACTCATTCAACTTTTTCCTCCTGGGCGTTGAGTCGGGACAGCGCAATGTTATACTACTCACGTATAGGCCTGCCAGCAGAACAGGGGACAAAATTCAGCAAGGACGAATTAGTATTCCGTAGCTTCGGGATCGACAATTGGTAGCAGATTCAAGAGGACAACCAAAAAAAAAAACATTGAATCGTACATCAGTTTCATCCCAAAAGTCACTGGCACAATACGCATTTCAACGCCGAATGTCACTAGGATCCTGAGCAGATGTCGGAAGCACATTATAGAATTCTTCGGAACTTTACTCTTTACTTTTCATCCTCTTCAATTGACCCAGAACACCAAGATTGATTCAATGATGACCATTTCATTTGGGTGAAGCGCAAGGTGAGTACCGCAAAGAAAACATTGCCAACGACTAAACTGCCAACTCTGCCCATCCACTGTTAGTGACCTCTCCCAAACGCGCCCTTCTTGTCTAAATTACCTTCTACTAGGAACAGGAAAGTCCTTCTACTGAGCAGCACCGACTTTCCTGTTCCTAGCATGGTCCACCCTATTCAAACTTCGGCCCATCTAACCATAAAGTTAGGCTTTTTATAACGTGAATTCCCATCCCCTTGTGGGAGGTCTTGCCCAATGACATGAATTAAACCGCAGTTTCATATCTTTCTGTGGGTAAAACATACCTGCTTGGCTTTGTGTATTGTGGTGACGGCCATTGAACCAGCAGCGTTACTCGAATACTTATGCTTCGCAGGCTTCATTGGATGACTCTCGAGAAAGCTTCGCTTCCTAAAAGGATTGCATTCGAGTTCATGTAAAATTGCAACTCTGAAAACACACATAGATAACCTTCAATGGTGACCTATTCATGGTAACATCAACATGGTTAAAGTAATTTGGGACTCCAATAACATCGATTACACTACTGTTACTTGGTAATGTTGAACGTTAAGGGGGGGGGGGGCTACAAAATTTCCTAGGTACCCCTTCATAGCTGCGACTTCGCACCGTGTCAGTATAACGTATAACAGATGCTTCAAAAGGGAATGAAAAGTCACTGAGCCCAAAAGACTCACCCTTTCAGACTTGACTTTGATGATTCTTCATCGATCTGGCTAACGGCTGACATTGCAGGAAGCCCATGATATTCTGAAAAAGCACTCTTCTGAGGAATATAGAGGCAGAAGGCAAAAAAGGCCCAAGAATGAGCTACAATAAAATCCCAGTTCATCGTCCTCTAAATAGCTTTCAGCAAGGTTCTTTGCAGAACGAATGGAGCAATTACTCCAACTATGCCACTTAAG